AATAGATGAAGAAGATTGATGGTGATCAAATCTATATAGCCTTGAGTTGATCCCATGGACCCGTGTAAGAGAAGAGGTGAATCTCCGGTGACACTAATGTGGTGCCATCCAAAATCCCTTGATGATTAAGTTAGTTCCCTCAAATGGAATAAATTCATAGTTCGAAATGAGAGCTTTAAGATATAGAGTATTGCTCACTTTATTCCTGTATTACCTTGATTTTTTATAGTCACTAACATGAGTTACTTAATTGTCGTGGGTCTTATATGTGGCACGCATATATAATTGGGTGCGGTCTAAAGGCTACCCTAGCCTAATTAATTATATATCTGTAAAATATAAATATTGTATTGGCGCAGTCCAAAAACCATTCTAGCCTAATTAATTATATATCCATAAAATATAAACATTATTTTTCGATTGTATGTGAAAAGTAGTTGCTAAAATAAAGAATGCATTTTTTTTAAGACATTTTGTATAATAATGGCGATGCTCTAACTCTGATAATCGCCAGACACATTCAAGTAAGAATAATGTTAGGAATTCTAAAAAAATTATCAAAACTTGTTTAACTTGTATCTATTTCTATAATTATTAATTATTGTTGGTTTTAGCTTTTTGAGTGAAAATATGGTGGAATTAATTTAGAACAAAATGGTTATATATATATATAGTATATATGAACATTATTGTAAGAATATGAGTTGCACAAAAGTTGGTAGACCTTGTCACCATCTTATAAATAAAAATGGTGAATCTTGGTGAGAAAGATTGCAAACCTAATATGAAAAGAAAAAGAAATAATAGTACAAAAGCATATACGATTTTGAGTCATGACGAAGGGAAACCTACTGCATGAATTATTGTCATTGTGACAACCTAAATTTCGAATTTCTTAGGTAGTGTTTAATTTACAGAATTGAAATTAGATTGAAATTGAATGATTATTCTTTAATTTATTTATTTTTAATTCTCTTGCAACGGTGAGTCATGATTATATTTGCAATGTAAATCACATATGATATAAGGATGCCATTATGATAAATTGATCATTTCATTTGCACTTATTTCAATAAACTAAGGGTTTGTTTGGGATATGAGTTGGTTTTTTGATTTTTTAACTATTTTAGTTTGGGGCTAAAAAGTCTTGTTTGGGATATATTTTTTGACTTTTTTGACTTTTGTGAGAAAAAAAAAATGAAATGATTATGTGTTGGATGTGACATTTTATCCTATTTATTTAAAATAACATATTTTGTCCTATATAACTATTTTAATCCAAACAGTCATCTCAAATGAGACCTAAATATGGCATAGGTCATTAGTGATTAGGTTTTTTCTATTTGTAAAAAAAGATATTAATAATCTTAAGATTAAAAGGATGTATGGTGACATGGGTAGGAGGGGGTGGCTAAAGCAAGGCTTGGCCTAAATTGGCTAAAAATCAAACTCCATTGCTGATGATGTGAGGGGCAAATGGATTGAAAAGACATCTTATAATTGAGAAAAACTTGCAAGGAATGGAAAATTGCAGAGATAGGGTACAAAATATACACAAAAAAGGAAATAAAAAATGTTTGAGCTTTATGAGGTTATGTCATAAAGCCTGCATGGATGCAAGGAGTGAATATTGTCATAGGATTCTTTGTTTTCAATCATCTTTGGCTTGGCGTTCGCTCATTGTGAGTTTCTTTTTTAAGAGATTCATCGTGTGACTAAAATAAAATTTTAAAAACAAGAATATAAATGATATTAGTGTCACATGATTTTGTCTTCAGTCTGCATTCTCTTAGTTTCAAACCTCCTTGCACCACAGTGCTGGAAAGATTAATTATGTGATGGAAAGAATGTTTAGAACAAGATGATGGAGGGCATTGAATACAAAAGATCTTTCTCATTGCTTTTACTAGCAAGGACTAGAATGTTGGAAAGAGTCCTTTTTAAGTAATGAAATTCATAAAGATTTCATTGTACAATCAAATGGCAGATTAATGGATGTCTAATTGTTTAATCACATACAATGAAAAATAAAGGGCTTATTTGGTTTGTATTTGAGAAATATGTTTTGAGATAAAAAGTACAAAAATTTGTATGGTTTGATTTTTTTTCAAAAGATGTTTTGAAAAATTATTTTGAGAGAGAGTTTTGAAAAAAGTGATTGATTTGATGTGTATGAGAGAGAGATTTGTTTGGAAAACTTGTAAACCAAACAAGTTTTGGGAAAAAAATTTGGAAAAATTTGTTTGGTTTGATTACTTTTGAAAACTTATTTGTAGAGAATTTTTTTCAAATTTTTTTGAGAAACACAAACCAAACAAGGCCAAAGTACTTGATAACATTACAATGTGACAATTATGCAATGATTTCAAAAGGCAAAAATTCGTCAAAAGGTTTGTATCATATGCACTCTGTTATGTTTTTGTGTGTGTGTGTGTGTATGTTACGTATTTTTGAGGCAATTATTACATATTTTTCTTGGTAAAGTTACGATAATTTGTGATTCAAAAATAAAGTTATATATTTTGTGGTAAATTTATGTATTTTTGTGGTGATGTTATAAATTTTTTTATCCAAATATTTTCTAACCAAAAAATGTGTAACATTACTACAAAAATTCATTACATTATCACAAAATGCTTAATTTCATTTCTCAATCACAAATTGTCATAATTCTACTATAAAAAAGTATGTAACATTTATCACGAAAATATGTAACACAACAAAAATAAGTAACAATAATGTATATGTGGTATACACCGGGGGGAGGAGGTAGTTTATGTATTTGTATTTTTTTTTTCTTTTTTTTTTTGTAAAAATGTTAGTATTTATTAATGATTTAAAGAAATTTAAATTGTCTATGTTAAATTATTAAAAATGGTTATTGATAAGAGTAAATCTTTTCTTTTTTCTTTTCTTTTTTCCTTATAATTTGTGGAAATATATTAACACCAATAAACAAAAATGTTAGAGCCGCCAATGATCTTTTTATATATTTATGAGAACTATATTAAATCCAGCAAAGCTAGTTGAACATCCACATCCCAAAGACAAGATTTTTGCAAATTTTAAAGAAAAACACTGACGACACTCTAGATTAGTATTTTAACTATATTCCCAATAATACTTTCTACAAGTTTAATTGTTGTTTAAATTTTTCCAGGTTCAATACCAGAGGAGATCTTTAATATCTCAACATTACAGATAGTTGGATTCGCGCAAAATCAGCTTTCAGGTACCCTTCCATCAAGTATAGGTGTTTCGCTACCCAATCTTGAACGACTTTGGCTTGACGGAAATGACCTCAGTGGAATTGTTACCGACTCTATCTCAAATGCTTCTAAACTCATTGATTTAGATCTTTCATCTAACAGATTTAGTGGTTCAATTCCAAGCTCACTTGGCAACCTAAGACTCCTTGAGTATCTCGTGCTACCAGGAAACTACTTCACTTGTGAATCTTCTTCTTCTGAATTGAGCTTCCTCACTTCCTTGTCAAGTTGCAGAAAATTAAACAGAATATGGATCGATAACAATCCTCTAAATGGCATACTTCCTGCTTCTATTGGGAATCTCTCCATCCGTCGATCCTTCGTCCCAGGACCAGATCTGAAAAAACTCCTTAACCTTCCAATCCATAACCGAAAAGCCCCACTGTTACTAAACTTCATCTCTACATATAAATCCACTTTGCCCGACGTTCCAAGAAAAAGGAAGAAGAGCCTTTCTCTCCCTACTGCTACAACTTTAACTGCCTCTACATCCCGAACAGATTAAGAGTCCACATCTGACCCAGCCGATCTTCCCTCCACTTCGGCCCCCTACTTAATACCAATTCCAGAACGTAAACGTCGACGAAGACTGGTAAAGACTGCCGAGATGGTTCGTCCAAGGCCTGTTGTTCAAGATTTTCTTTCCGACCTTCCAACTGACGCCGAAGCTGTACCAACGCAATCAATGCCCCCACCAAAGCCAAAGAGAGTTAAAAAGGCTCAGCCCAAGGCTAAGGCTACTGATGCCGAAGTTGAGGACGCTTTGCCGATTTCCAAACTGGCAGAGAGCAAAAAATCAGCCTCTACTTCCACCAAGAGGTCTGCTGAGGGCCAACCTTCAGGATCTACGCAATCAAAGAGGCCAAGGTCATCGTCTGCGACGACCTCGGCGTCGAAGAAGCCCGACGTCCCCTGGACCCCTCAACTTACTCTGGAGGATAGGCCCATCATGGCCAGTGAAAGTGCTGACGACATTAACGTTGGTGTCGCTCTAAGTACTGCTCTCCTCCTCCCGAATGATCTGGAGCGCAATGCCGACCTCAGCGAGTATGAGAATTACGCTCTCATGCTCCAACACTCTGTTCAAGTAAGTGTTCCTGTTTGCGATTTTTCCTTCTGTTTCTTACTGAGAATATTTTCTAATACTTCTGCTTTTTCTTCAGGCTATCCAACATGCCCATTCATTTTCAATGCAATCCTTTGAAAATCGTCAAAGGTTGGTTGATATGAAGAGGGAGGTTTCTTCCATGAAGAAAGAGATTAAATCTCTTGAATTAAAGATGAAGAGGTTGGAAGACCAGGCCGAAGCTACCACCAAGGCCCAACAAATGGCCGAGGAGAAAGCCGAATCCGCTGAGGCTGTTAAAAAAGTTACTGAAGCCGAGAAGAAAGAGGCTGAAGCTAAGAAGGTCCAAGCAGAGAAAGAGCTCCAGCAAGCCCTGGCCACCAAAGAGGCCGAGGTCAAAGAGGCCGACGAAAAGGCCTATGCCCAGGGCATGGCCGACGTCGCAGAGGATTATAAGCTTCAAGTCAGGCAGGCATGCAACAGGATTTTCTCTTGGTTGGATGTCCCTGATAAAGAAGCTTGATCTTCCTGCTGACTCGCCATTGCGCCAGGCCGACGCTATTCCTTTACCATTTCCCCCACCTCCACCTAAGGGTGTCGTCGAAGCCAAGTCCCCTCCTCCAACTGAGCAGGTTATGGACTTAACTTTGGATGAGGAGGGTGCTGAGGTTGAGGAGGTAGCCGAGGAAATTGTCACTGGGCAGCTATCGTCCAATCTTCTCTTGGTGGAAAGAAGTGTTGAGAATACATTAGCAGAGATTGATGCCGAGATACATGCGGAAAAAGCAGCTGAGGAGGTTCTACCAGAATCGTCCGAGGTCCCAGTCCCTGCAACTGTTAATACTGAAGAGTCTTGAAAATATCTTTTGCACTTTTCTCTTGTCTTTCTGTATTTTGTATTTTGTACTCTTTTAATTTCTGGACAATGCAAAACTTCTTCTTATTGCCGATGTAGCTTTTTTCAATATGTAACTGCAACTGTTCTCTTTTTTTGGATGTTCTTAGTCTTGTGATGTTCTGTTAATTGCTTCTGCACAGTTCTATACTTAGAAATTCTTGCATGCTTCTTCATGTTGCTTCTTTTGTGCGATCTTCTCGGGGTTTATATACCTCGGGTATAACTGCAAAACTTTTACTTCGGCAAGATATTGTAAATTGCTATAAATTTCAACAAGTATTAAACAGTAATTTCAATCTAACCTACTTGTAAATTGCTACAAATTTCAACAAGTATTTAAAAAATATACTTAGCCTTTACTTTAATCTGTAAATTTCTTGTATACCTCAGCGGGTGATCATATGTCGGTTTAACACAAACTTGTAAATTGCTACAAATTTCAACAAGTGTTAGGTATTTTCCTTAGGGTTAAGCAACTCACATATTGCTATGAGAATTTAAGTAATAACCTCGGCTTAACTTCAACTTGTAAATTGCTACAAATTTCAACAAGTGAAGATAAGGAATCGGCTTAATTCCAACTTGTAAATTGCTACAAATTTCAGCAAGTGAATTAAGGAATAATTTCGGCTTAACTTCAGCTTGTAAATTGCTACAAATTTCAACAAGTGAAGATAAGGAATCGGCTTAATTCCAACTTGTAAATTGCTACAAATTTCAACAAGTGAATTAAGGAATAATATCGGCTTCACTTCAACTTGTAAATTGCTACAAATTTCAACAAGTGAAGATAAGGAATCGGCTTAATTCCAACTTGTAAATTGCTACAAATTTCAACAAGTGAATTAAGGAATATTCTCGGCCTATTCTTTGCCCCCAATGTGAACTTGAGTTTTGACTTGGGTTCACATTAATTTTGTCTTCAGTAAACAACAATGTATAACTGTATCAATCATATGTGTTGAAAGAATTCTGAAAGGACTTTATTGATGATATCGGTCAAAAAATGATGCACATCTAATGATAGAAAAATTTCAAATTACAAGTATTCCAAGGTCTGGGCAGTGCTTTGCCCTCATTGTCCTCAAGCCGATAAGCTCCATTGCCTAATACTGAAGTAATTTTGTAGGGTCCTTCCCAGTTTGGGCCAAGCTTGCCTTCCCTGGGATCCTTCTTGTTCCCGACGACTTTTCTTAGGACTAGGTCGCCGACTTGAAAATCTCTTGGATTGACCTTCTTGTTGTAAGCTCTGGCAAGTTGTTGCTGGTATACTGCAAGTTGAATTGCAGCTTTCTCTCTTCGTTCTTCTAATAAATCCAGATCTCGGGCTAAGAGTATGTCGTTGGTGCCATTCTCTACTCCCTGGGTTCTGATCCCTAGGATGCCGATCTCTAATGGGATGACTGCTTCTGTGCCATAAGCCATGGCAAAGGGGGATTCTCCCGTTGATCTTCTCGGCGTAGTCCGATATGCCCAAAGTACGTTGGGCAACTCGTCTACCCACTTTCCTTTTGCTGCCTGCAGCCTCTTCTTTATTCCCCTTGCTCTTACTTTGTTGGACGCCTCTGCTTGCCCATTGCTTGCTACTAATCTTAGTTTAGTCGGCAAAAGGTATGTGTCATTATCAAATTTAATATATTGCTAGACATCTCGGATTTTGGCAAGAGGTTCTGCCTCTATCCATTTTGTGAAGTAGTCTGTTGCTACCAGCAAGTATTTTCTCTGCCCAGTTGCCTGGGGAAGTTTTCCAACCAGATCCATGCCCCATTGGGCAAACGGCCAAGGGCTGGATACTGGGTTTAGGTCAGCAGCTGGCTGATGTATCAAAGGTGCAAACCTTTGGCATTGTTCACACTTCTTCACATAGGCCTCGGCATCCTTTTGCATGTAGGGCCACCAATATCCCTGGGTAATGGCCCTGTGGGCTAATGATCTGCCCCCAGTATGGCTTCCACAAATTCCTTCATGAATTTCGTAAAGAAAATCTTCAACTTGCAAAGGGTGTACGCACCTTAAAAGTGGCCCAGTGAAGGACCTCCTGTAGAGATGACCTTCTTCTGTGAGACTGAATCTGGCCGACTTCAGTCTGATTTTATGTGCTTCCTTATGATCTTCTGGCAGCTTCCCCTCTTTCAGGAATGTAATGATTGCATCCATCCAGCTTGGTCCCAAGTCCACGCACATTGCTTTTTGTTCGGTGCTCTGTTTTTCTATGCTCGGGGCCGACATGTAGTCGATCATAATTGTCCTTGTTTTTCCCGTTTGAATTGAACTGGCCAGGTTAGCCAACGCGTCGGCGTGGGTGTTGTCATCTCTGCTGACTTGGAGTAATCTGCAATTCTGAAATAGGGCTGCCAATCTGATGACTTCCTTTGCATATGCCGACATTCTTTCGTCCCTGGCTGCAAATTCTCCTGTTGACTGGTTAACAATGAGTTGTGAATCACAAAAAACAATTACCTCATCTGCTTCTGCTGCTGCTGCCAGCTTTAGACCTGCAATTAATGCTTCATATTCTACCTCATTGTTTGAGGCTTTGAACCCCAAACGGATAGACTGTTATACTATTTCTCCATCTGGAGATATCAGCAATTGTTTGAGGCTTTGAACCCCAAACGGATGGACTGTTCTACTATTTCTCCATCTGGAGATATCAGCAGTACTCCTGCCCCTGCTCCCTGGCGGTTTGAACTTCCATCGACAAATAGTCTGAATGAATCGCCGATGTAAATGCTGCAGGGTCTGAGCTTCTCCTTCTCTTGCTTTTTTGTCTTTTGCTGGGATTCTTTTTGCTTGTTGGGACAATGCTCATCTTGGCTCGACGGAGCCCGATGTGCGATGGTTTCAGGTGTGAGTTCTGCGACGAAGTCGGCCAAAACTTGGCCCTTTATTGCTGTTCTCGGCCTGAACTCCAGGTCAAACTGGCCCAGGGTTACTGCCCATTTTGCTATTCTTCCTGTTAAGTCTCCTTGTTGCAACAAGGATTTCAGTGGGTGTTCTGTTAGGACCACAAACTTGTGTGCCTGAAAGTAATGGCTCAACTTCTTTGAAGCCATTACAAAGGCCAGCATTAATTTTTCCAGTGGTAGGTATCTTGTTTCTGCATCGGCCAAAGTTTTACTTACATAATAGACAGCCTTTTGCTCCCCTTTTTCCTCTCGGATTAGTACTGCACTGACTGTGTGTTCTGAGACTGCTAAGTATAAAAACAGTTCCTCCCCTGGTACTGGGTTGGAAAGAACCGGAGTTGTGGTCAAGTACCTTTTTAGGTCGGTTAAGGCAGCTTCACATTCTTCTGTCCATAGGAAGTCTGTGGCTTTTTTCACCAGGTTAAAGAAGGGTCTGCACTTATCTGAGCTTCTGCTGATGAATCTGTTTAGGGCTGCGGCCCTTCCAGTAAGTATTTGAACTTGCTTTGCCGATGTCGGGCTCTGTAGTTCCAGGATGGCTTTGATTTGGTCTGGGCTGGCCTCAATGCCCTTTCTTGTCACCAGATACCCCAAAAATTTACCTGATCTGACTCCAAAGGCGCACTTTGATGCGTTGAGTCGGAGCCGATATCTTTTTAGTATGTCGAAGATCTCTTTTAGGTCGGCGAGATGACCCTTTGATTCCTTGGTCTTTACGACCATGTCATCGATGTAAACTTCTACTGTTTTGCCAATCAGGTGCTTAAACATCTTTGTTACTAACCTCTGATAGGTTGCTCCTGTGTTTTTCAGCCCAAAAGGCATTACCTTGTAACAATAAAGTCCCTTGGGGGTGATGAATGTTGTCTTCTCTTCATCTAGGGCATATATTGCTATCAGATGGTACCCCTTGTATGCATTCAGAAGGCTAATTCTTCCATGCCTTGATGTGACATTAACAAGGTGATCAATCTTGGGCAGCGGAAAGTAGTCCTTCAGGTATGCTTTGTTTAGGCTAGTGAAGTCTACACATACCCTCCACTTGCTATTATTCTTCTTTACCCAGGCTTTGTTGAGGCTGGTAAAGTCTACACAAACCCTCCATTTGCCATTCTTCTTTTTTACTACTACTGTGTTGGACAGCCATGTTGGGTACTGAACTTCTCGGATGGCCCTGGCCTCCAGGAGTCTGTCTATCTCTTCTTCTACTGCTTCGACGTGCATCAACGTCGGTCTTCTGGCTCGTTGAATCACAGGTTTTGCCGATCTGTCGACATTCAGTCTGTGGCAAGTGACCTCGGGGTCAATGCCAGGCATTTCGTAAGGTGTCCAGGCGAACACCTCTATGTTTGTCCTCAAAAAATCTTCCAGTTCTTTCTCTTCTTCTCTAGCTAAACCTGAGCCGAGAAGAAAAAAGCGCTCTTCATCGCCCTCCTGGACGAAAACTTTTTTTAGTGCCTCTTCGATTTTTTCGGCTGGTTCTTTCCCGACGTCTTCTAGGACCTCCATGTCCTCATCTTCAACTTCTGCTGTCCTTGGCTCCCGTATACTACAGGTGGACTTCATTGCTGCCATGGAGCAATTTTTTGCTTGTAGTTGATCTCCTCTGACTTCTTCAATCCCATGCTCTGTTGGGAACCACAGTAGTTGATGCAATGTTGAGGGAACTGCCCCCATTGCATGCAACCATGGCCTTCCCAAGATGATGTTGTACGGTGAGGGTGTGTCATTCTTCTAAGATTCCCACAGACGGCGCCAAATTGTGTGGGTGAAAATCTGACCACACTGCCTGCTCAGTGATCCGTTCCATTAAAGCCGACCATCGGGCCGCTGGATTGTTCTTGGTCATCAGGGTGAAGGCCCAGCTCCTTGTAACATCTGACATACATGATGTCACAAGAACTGCCTTGATCTATTAGGATGCGTTTCACTTGGCATTCCCCAACTTGGAGGGATACTACCAAGGCATCATTATGCGGATGTTGGACCAGTTCCAGGTCGGCTTCAGTGAAGGCTATCATCGGCCCTTGGCACTCTTCTGGCCGATGTCGCTTCTCCCCGACTTGGTAGACATGCTGTAAATGTCTTACCCTCTGGGTCTCCCCTCTGACTTCGTTTTCGTTGATCCTTGAGTGGATCACATTAATCTTTGTATTTACATTTATAAGACGCCGCCAAAGGAGAAACAAAATTCCAGTTCAAACTGAATTTTTTCCTCAAAGAATATGCCATGAAAGAATTACATACCATGAACTTTCACGAGCAACCAATATGTTTAGTGAAAGCAACTTGCTTGGCACAGGGAGTTTCAGTTTAGTTTATAAAGGAATGCTTCCTGGAAGGACAATTTTTGCTACGAAGGTGTTCAAATTGGAACTAGATGGCGCGTTCAAAAGTTTTGAAACAGAATGTGAAATATTGCGCAACATTCGTCACCGAAATCTCACCAAAGTCATTAGCAGTTGCTCAACCCGTGATTTTAAAGCCCTAGTGCTTGAGTACATGCCTAATGGCACTCTGGAAAAATGGTTGTATTCTCACGACTATTTCCTAGATATGTTGCAGAGGCTGGACATAATGATAGATGTGGCTTGTGCCTTGGAGTATCTTCACCATGGTTATTCAGTGCCTGTGGCTCATTGTGATTTGAAACCAAGCAATGTGTTACTAGATGATGATATGGTTGCACATGTGAGTGATTTCGGCATTGCAAAGTTGTTAGGTATGGGGGAGAGCATTACACAAACAAGGACAATAGCAACATTTGGATATATTGCACCAGGTGATGGTTCTATCTTACAATTCCTTTTCATGTCTATGCTTTCATTGTTTTTAATTCATTTGTTTTTTTCAACAAAAAATAAACATTTTTTTTCAATAGAAAATACTTTCTTGTGTTTGGTTGTGACTTTGAAACTAATGTGTTAGTGATGATGTTGGTGGAGGTAGTAGGGTGATATGGTAGTAGCAGTGGTAGTGGAAGTGTGTTGTCATTGATAAAACTTTAGTGTCAAAACGTTTTTTGCCCAAGTAACCTTGTTGCTTTGTTGACTAGGAAAATGTTTGTATTGCCTTTCGTGTTCTGTCATACCAAACACCAAAAATGCATAAAATATTTTCGGTCGACACAAGCAAAGGATTAAGTTTCAATTTAAGTTTATGATAAATTATTTTACTGTTCTCACCATGTTACTTCTCATGAATGTAATGTAGAGTATGGACTGGAAGGATTAGTCTCGACAAAATGTGATGTTTACAGTTATGGCATCATGTTGATGGAAACATTTACAAGATCAAAGCCCATTGATGCAAGATTTGATGGAGATCTGAGTTTGAAGTGTTGGGTGGCTAATGCATTGCCTAATGCGATAGTTCAAGTTCTAGATGCCAACTTGCTCAGACAAAACATTGAACACAACAATGCAAAGGTGCAATGTGTGTCATCTCTTATGCAATTGGCTTTGAATTGCTCTGAAGACTCACCTGAGGAGAGGATGATCATGAAGGATGTTCTAGTAGCAATCAAGAATATCAGACTTCGGTATGTTGAAAATTGTAAACAAACTTATGAGGAAAGCATCTCTTCCACATTATTATGCTTGTGATTTTCAAAATTAATAAGGGCATCCTTGGATGTTGATTTAACTTCAATGTTATTTATATATTTATATACATATGTATAGTCCTAAACTTTAATCAAATTATTGGGCTTGCTTTATTGAGATCATAATCATAGTTAATTTAGTTTTGAACTTTATGTTAGATTAACCATTAAACTTGACTTTGTGAATCCATGGACTTGGTTATTGGATCTTTTTTTTCTTCCCCTGGATATAGTTGCATTTCTGTGTATTTTGCTATAGATTCTTGCACGTTGGAACGATAACAGAATTTATTAATCATATAAATGATTTATAAATAGAAAATTTATATATAAAACATATATAAAATGATATGACAATGATATTATTGTTATTATAAGTTATAATGATTTATATTTTGACTCAAAATGAAATGATCATAAAAGGTCACGTCATTCTATATGAATTTTTTGTACATAAATTTTGTTTATATAGCATTACCCATACATATATTTTTTTCAAAAAAATATATATCAATTGTAAATCAGATGTGTTACATACCTAGAAAAATTACTTCAATTTTATCCAAAATTAAAATGTGAAAAAGATTTAGTATAGATATTACCTATAACATACTACTACCATTAAATTTACACTATTTTGGGATAAAATTCTGGTTAACTTTTCGTAGTAACTTTTCATAAAAATCTAGGGTAGCAGCAACACCCACTCGTTGGTTCGCTTTGGTTGTTTCTGCCGCTGTTGATTTGGCTGATGCAGGTCAAGAGCTGTTGATTCTGTTTCTGCTCTGCTCTTTGGGGTGTCATCTTTGAGTAAAAACCTGAGTCCGGATTCTCTGCCGCCCTTCTCGGCGGCCGTCCCAGCAGCCCCCCAAAACGACGTCGTTTTGGGGGTTTTTTTGATTTTTTTTTTTTCTTTCTTCTTCCTCGTTCGTTCGAACGAACCAGAGGCGACGGGAGGGGAAGAAGAGAGAGAGGGAGAGGGGAGGGGAGCCGCCGGTGGGCCGGACTGGAGGGGGCCATTAAAACCGGGGGAGCAGGAGGAGGAGGAGGAGGAGGCGGAGGCGAGGCGACGATCGGACGGCTGGACGACCTGCGACGGCTGAGGCGAGGCGAGACGGACGACCTGCGACGGCGACCCTCCCCTCCCCTGCGACGTTCTCCCTCTCCCCTCCCCTCCCTCTGGTTTCCGTTCGAAGAGAGAGAAAACGAGAACGAAGAAGAAGAAAAGAAAAAAAAAAAAAAACCCCCAAAACGACGTCGTTTTGGGGGCTGCCGGGTAGGGCGGCCGAGGATCCGGATTCGTCATCTTTGTGTTTATTTTGTTTATTTTATTTTATTTTGGTTGATTTCTCAGCAATTTGGGTGTAGTGTTAGCATATGATTGTGCTTGCTTTTTTGTGTCAACTTAGTTGGGCTGGATTTGCAGTACTTTGATGCTTTAACACTCTCCTTTCTTTATTGATATTTGTCTTGATAAAACAATCATTGATTTTCATTAATAAAATATTTTTTTTACTAATAAAAATAAAAAATTTCATAATAACTAGAATTATATTTTATTAGTAGCTTACAGACATTTTCAAGTTCAATCAGTTTGACTCAAATCAAAATTTAAAATTGACAAAATTAAAAAGGATAAACTACACGCATAGTCTCTAAAGTTTAACACCCATTTCGTTTAAGTCTTTCAAGCTTTGATTTTAATTATCAATTAATTTACTAAAATATTAAATTCAAATCAATTTAGTCTTGAAGATAATATAAAAATAAAATATGAACCCAAAGGTTCTATTAGTTACTATAAGGCCCTATTTTATTATAGTTATAATTAAAAAAATATCCCTTTTTATTCTTAAAGCATTGTGTGAATGTGTTTAAAATTGGTGTCAAAATCTAATTTCTCAGTTTTGCTGATATTAATTTGTAATCATTAGATATATTGAAGAAGTTGAATCAAATAATTTAAATAACAATAGTACTGCTTTACAAATGATAATCAAACAAAATAATACTATAATCAAGTCATTAAAAAACCTCAACGAAAACCTTAAAGAAATCAACTAGAAATTATTTACGAAGTACAACATCTGCTATTAGATAAAGGTAAGCAATTAACTATAATAAAAATAAACAAGAAAATAACACATATAATTACATTTTTCTTCTTTTTTTTTAGATTTTGATCAATAAAAAGAAGGAACTTTATTGATGAAAAACTCTAAGGCCTCGTTTGAGAATAGACTTTTTTAGCAACTTTTTGACTTTTTGGTTAAAATGTGATGTAAAAAAAGCTATATGTTTGGAATGACTTTTTGGCTTTTTACGAAAGGATGTGCAAAAAGTAGAGAGAAAAATGGAATCTTTAGCTTTTTGGTATGGGTTGTTGGCTTTTTGGTTTTTTTTAGTAACTTTTTGGCAAAAAAAGTCACTTGTCAAACGAGGCCTAAGACTCTTTATTAATTATCTTTATCTTTGCAAGGGGAACTAGAACCTTTTGAATTAATACCATTATAAAAATAATAATAAAAAAATGGATCTCAGTAATTATAGTTTAGAAGAATTAGAAAGGTATTTTTATAATATAACAAAACCTAAGAGGCAAGAATATAAAAACAAAAACTTAAGAGCTAATATTATAAACAGTCAGAACCAAAAGAGAACAAAACTGAAAGTTTAAGGACAAACTTGAAAAAAAATTAAAGCTGAAAGGACCAAAGTGACAAAAATTACATACTTGAAGGACCATTGAAGTGATTTTTTTGGTTGTTGGCTTTTGGCCAACTGTCCCATTCTATTGTTTTATTGAATTAATAAAAAATTATTTTACTTTGCCGATTAAAAAAATAAAGACCACTGGAGTATACTATCCAATTAATAATTTTGATGATCAAATCACAAGAAAGGCTTACTTTTGAGACTACGAATATATTTTTTCCTAAAAAAATTAAAAATATTAATAAAACTTTTTTTTCAAATTCAATAGGATTCTCATACAAAAAATCTTAGATCCATTATAATTTTACACACTTAACAAGGGTCCAAGTGCTTTGTAACTTTCCTCCATGTCATGAATTGCATGGTCATGCACTTCCTCTCTGGTGGGTGAAGGTATGTCTTCTGGATCACTTCTAGGTTTAACCCACCTTCCATGATCATTGTATACTAAACCCTTGTTTTCCATTTGGTACCAACATGGAGGAATCCTAAGCTCATCCACTAGCATGTCACATGCCTTGTTCACTAGGGCAACATCTCTTCTAGCATTCAAGCGAAAAGTCCAGCTTGTACTCATGAATCCATCAACAAGATGAAGGTATGTCTCTAGCATATGAAACCCTAGCACATTGAACCCACCACGCTTAAAATAAGGTCAAGAGCGCACGTCTAATGTCAATTCTGCTCCAACATGTGTGTATACCCAGTCCAGTGTACCGGTGAAATCATCAAACATTTGTAAACTTTCATTAAAAACAATCCCCGGCATGCGAGGGATTAGGTCTTGTTTTACAACCACTCGCAGTGTTTTAACACCCATTTGATGTATTTCGTCTCTAAAGGTGATGTTGCCAACTCTAGGTGCTCCAAATGATATGACACTAATGTGAAGGTTAGGGATAGCGGTTGCAGCCTCATAGGCATTGAGTAACGCCAATGCACCTCTTAGGCTATGTCCAGTGATTGTGAGGCTCACTTGTTCGCCTCTTGTCTTGAGAAATTTCACTAGTCTTTTCACTTCTTTCATGACTTGCTCTGAGGCACTTGACTTGTTATACCTAGTAGCATCACTCTTAGATATGTAAATGCTTAGAAACCCACGTTCCACTTTAGCTTCCCCTTCCCCTATTGGCTCTAGCTTCCACCGTGCCACGCCATGCTACGACTACATCCCTCCTCCCTATTCGCCTGTCTCTTCATCATCACTCACTACCACAAACTCCATCCAATTGAAATCCTTACTCCATGTTTGACCTAGGGCTGACCGCTCAAGCCACCGTGGCACATCCATATATGACATGGCATGAATGTACTTGCTCACCTTGTAACCGTTCTTGGTAAGCCCTAGCTTGTCAAAGATTTTGTCACGATTGTATCTACAACTACCACAATACTCTGAGAAAGAGTCAAAGTCAAAGGCATCATAAGTTGCTTGCACAAATTCACCGTATTTGACAATCTCTCGTCGTAGCCAGGGGTGAAGTAGTTTCAAAAGATTGTCCCAGTCACAGCAATCTTGTATTTCATGCCACTTATTAGATGTCTTCCTTTGGAGACATAGCCGGAGTGTTGTGCCTCTCCTCATGGTCAAAATGGATGTTCCAAAGTTTGTGGGTAGGTGGTTCAATATGGAGGTGGAAGAGGTTTGAGAGAGATTCGGCTAGGCGGATCGATTGGTTTGGAGTCTTGGGATTGGGTTGAGTGTCAATTGTTAGTTGATGATGGGCATGGATTTTGGGAAGTTGGTTGGTGGTGGTGTTGGGGTGTTGAGCCAGCGGGATGTGGTGGTGGAAGGTGGAGGAAATTGCTTCCATGGTGGTGGTCTAAATCTCAAACAGGTCACTACTTGAAGGTGCTTGAGACTTTTGTTTGATCACTTTTAAGGTTTGAGAGAATTTAGGGGAGAGATGAGTTTACATAAGTGTGAGTACTGAGTAGATGAAATTTGTCCCAGCTAAAAAAACATAGATGAAATTTGAATTTTGACTTGAAATACTTTGTTTAAAGTTTCAACCTAGCGTGCTTTGGTAGTCCAAATTCTCGTGGGTCAAGAAACCTTCCAATGTTAAACCAGGTTGTGATTTGGTCACATCTCTTGACTCTTGAGAAAATTTCCAAATATGCCACTTTGATAATAAGTCAAAAGTTCATTTATCATTCATTTACTGTATAATTAAATATGGATAATGTTATATGATCAGAATTTTTTAGAAAAAATTTAGGATGATTGTTTATGAGATTTTCAAACAAACAAAAAATACAAGTTTTTTAGGTTTGGCATTTTAATAAAATTAAAATGATTTAAACAAATGCATATGACATGTAGACATATAAATAAAAATAAATAAATATATATTTAGTATAAAAAATATAATAATATTATATTTCAATCTATATAATGAATGAATTACTGATAACAAATGGAGTCAAGTGTTATGTGAATTACAATTTTAAAGGAACAAATGTAATTATAATTATGTCCTACTTGTAAAGTGCAAATAATTTTTTCTAAACCTCTAATGAGATTAGTGTAGTTTACCCAAAATTTTATATGACATGACATTTTATGAAATTTTTTTAATTTAAATCAAGAGACCCATCATTGTGATTTGTAAAAATATTACTCTCATATTATTTTGTATGAGTTTTATGAACAAAAAAATTAGATTTATAAACCATTTTTTATTAAATATTTGACTTTCAGAAAACATTTGGACTAAAGAAACAAATAGAAAAAAAAATACGTATATAGAATAAGACAAATGCTAAAGAATACTTCTAAAAATTATTTAATATTGAGATTAAGTTAAAATTTTATTTTAAAAATAAGGAAAAGTGTTTAAAAAGTGAACTGTGTGTGAAAAGAGACTATGAATCCTTCAAGAATATGTAGCAAAGAGAACAAAATGTAGCATATAAACATCAATAAAACACCATGAACTGAATGGTATTTGCAGAGTATAAGCCAGAGATTAGGGTCGGTATTGTAATTTCAAAGTTGTCATCAGCTTGTTTCCTATCGTCTAGATCTAGATCTAGTTCTAGTCGCCAACAATATTCCTCTTTCACAAGTAATACTAAAATATAATAGACTGGAGAAATTATTTTTCCACAAAAATTTAAAAAAAAAAAAGTTAAAAGAGAACAACTCAAAATTTGAATCGGTAACTGTTGACTTTGAACTTGTAAACCGTTCACATTACTCTCATGTGTAATTTTTAAAATGTTTACCAAACTTTTAAAATTAATTACGTAGCTCACATTGCATTTACAAATGCAATGGAGAGTGTATATATCATAGAAAAGTTTAAATTAAATTTGTATTATAAAAAAATGGATAGTTATTCTTAAAATTAAATTTGTCATTCATTTTTAAAAAATAAATATGATTCAAAGATATTGTTACAGATATTCAATCATTTTAATTTCTTATGTGAACAATTCGGATCACCAAAATTGGTCCGAAAATGAGTTTATTAAACCCAAACTCTCTCTCAAACTAAACCTTTACTAAAATTATGAATAAGTTCTATTTTTTGTGATAAAAATTATATTTTTTTGTGATGAATAAAAACTTATACTTTGTACAATAAAAATTATATTTTTTATATGAAGTGCATACTACATGCATCTTTTGGGGGTTGACGTAATAGCATTTCTCCTTTAGCTTAAATACGCTGCCCATCGAACCACCCGGCTTAGCCTAGTACTTTTTGATTTTGAAAAAATTATTTTGCTCATAAGGATGAGCTGGGCTGAGATTTTGTCCTCATTTGATATTTGGATTGGATTTGGAATAAAGAGTTCTAACAGCGCAACCCAACCTGCCCCACTCGCCCATTTGTAAAATATTAATAAATTTTTATATTATTTTAATTATAAAAAAAGTCAAAAAAATATTTAAGACCAAAAAAAGTATATATATATATATATATATATCCTTTTTTCTAGGGTTTAAATTAAAAGATTTGTTAAAAATCATATTTGTTTTATTATTGAATTTTGTTAATGTTTAAAATTGAAATAACAAATAAAAGGATCTAAACAATTTAATATCCATTCAAGATAAATAAATAAATAAATAGCTCATATCTATTAGATTAAGTTCGCTGGTTTGGAATTTGAAATTTTTTTAAGGTCGACCTTGGAATGATTAAATTAGGCCCAATGTTAGGCCAAGCTGGGCTTAGGATGCAACATATTTTCTTACTATATAGTACAAGCCTAACTCGAGGCTTATCCACCCCTAGTTTAAACTGAAAGGAAGGGACTTCTTTCTTGTCCATTAATTGGACTGGAAGATCTAGTTGAATGTGGTTCGTCTCGAGCCTTCTTTGATGATTCAAGTCATTCATTTTATTGCCAACATATCTTTTAGATCAGAAGTGTCAATCAACATAGTACCACTTGCAATTAGGTTGAAAATAAAAGTTAATTTAGAAATATATTCTAAGTCTTGATTTACATGGCTTTAGATAATCACTTTGAGAGAAAAAAATAGCATAGTTGTAGACTTTTACCAAAGAAATTCTTTGCGAGTTCACATTTAAGTTCCGTTTATTTTTCTGTAAAATACTTATTTAACGTTTTATTTATTTTTTTATTATTTGATTGGTTAAAAAGTGAGTAAAATATTTACATCATAAAGTGTAAAATAATTTACGTTAAAAAATTTTGTGAGTTATTTTTTTTTCTCATCATAGTTGATACTATTTTTTCTTTTCCTCTATAAATTTCTATCCAAATTAAAGATCCAAACACAGTCTAAAAAAAAACAAAAAATAAATGAAGTTGTGTGTGAACATCCATTGTATAGTCAACCAAAATTTAAAAGACAAATTTATTTTATGAAGAATTTTTTATTTCCCTCTATAAATTCTTTCATAAATCAAAATGCACTTCTTTTTTTTTTTATCGACAAAGAAAATCTTTATTGATGAAAGCATGCAAAAAGATACAGAATATCAATAAAGAGGAGCTTGGAGCTATCCAGTTGGTGAGAAACCAACAAACAAAACAAGAAAAGCAGAATCAGCTAGGAAAGCAAACCAGACCACAACTAACAAAGCAGACCAACTTAAAAAGCAAAGCAGACCAACTTAACTACAAAGACTAACAGATCAGCTCAACCAAGAAAGCCAGAGCAGTATGTAGATCACCCTACCTGAAGGAAGTCTCCAACCTGAAGGAAGTCTCCAAGAGTAGGCAGCCACAGAATTCACTCCAGGACCAAAAACCCAGACTACACATCATTTGACACATGTCCCCTAGTTCCATATAACTACACCTCTGCCCTCAGCAGCACATTTTTCCTGCAGCTTACACACCACTCAGCACCAAAAACTGAACAAAATCAATCTAAACCAGCACTAGAGTTGAGAACAAAATTGTAGAAATTCACTTCAGCACCTCATATCAGCAAAACTGCAAACAAGCCACAATTTCACTTCAGGACAAACCAACAAAACTGCAGATCAGATGCAGAGCTACCACATCAGCACACACACTTCAGAACTTCAACACACAGATGCAGAGCTACACACTACAGCAAACACACTTCAGAATTTCAACACACAGAGCTTCAGTACACACAACAATATACTTATTACAAATATTCAACAGTACACACTCCAGCAATCATGCTTCATAAATTCAACACAAAGATACAGATCTTCACCCACGCTAACACTACACCCTCAAGCACAGAGCAGAACAGGAGAACATAGCAGATGAAGTTTCCTCAAAACACAACTCAAGCACCTTGGAGAGGCAGCCTAATCTGATACAAATTAGAGACAAAATCATAAATAGAGTAATCAATCTGCAATACCCCTTTGGCCCACAAAGCTATATGCATTTTAATTCTTTCACATAAATCTTCAAAAGCAAGTAGAGCCCCCTTGAATTTACATTCATTCCTTAATTTCCACACATACCAGAAAACCACAGACGGAATTACCTACCAAATTCTGAATTCCTTTTTCTTGAACTTACCGCCAGACCACCAATGCAACATCCCCTGAACTGATCCAGGTATAGCCCATACCAGATCCCACTACCTTACCATTAATGACCAGCACTCCCAGATCAATGGACAAAAGAGTAACACATGTTCCAGAGTTTCCTCAGCAGCATTGCAGAACACACAAGAAGAACTAACAGTAGCAGCTAAGACCCCAATCCTTTATAGGAAAGATGAAGTCTTCACCCTACCCTCCAAGCTAGCCAGCAGAAGAATTGCATTTTTGGTGGAGCAGAATTAACCCATAAACCTACAGGAATATTCAAACCCGGTCCTTGTGCTGCCACCCACCACTTCCACACAGAAAGCACTGAGAACTGACCTGAGTTATTAGCCAACCATGAGCAAGAATCTTCAATTTCAAAGTTAATTGCAGGGGATGATGCCAACATCCTTAATAACCTCTGCAGCTCATCTTCTTCCCAAGAAAAAAGCCTTCTTCTGAACTGCAGCTGCCACACCCCTATACTGCTCTTCTTAGCACTGATTTGATGCAAAGTTTTCTCTTTCTCAGTAGATAAGTGATGTAATCTGGGGAACTCAACCTTCAACCCTCTGTTACATACCCAACCATTAGACCAGAAATGTATTTTCCTCCCATTACCAACAGATACTTTAAAATGGTCATCATAAAATTCTCCCAGTTACTGGTTCACTGCAGACAACTTCACAATGTCTTGCCAGATATTAGACATCCCACCTGTGTGAGACACAGGTGGCATCCGACCACCACCAATTCTGTCATACCTAGAGCATAACACAGATTTCCACAAAGCTTTGTCTTCATTTCCATACCTCCACCACCATTTTAATAGCAGGCAATCATTCACCTCTCCTAAATCCCTCACACCTAAACCTCTTTGCCATTTACTTTTGGTTGCCTCTCTCCATTGAACCAAGTGCACCTTCTTCTTATTTTCTGACCCTCCCCACAGAAAAGAGGACTGAAGTTTCACTAAAGTCTTTACAACCCCCTTAGGCATCCTGAACAATGAAAGGAAATCGATAGGCAAATTCGATAGAACAGATTTAATCAAAGACAATCTACCCGCAAAAGATAACAACTTCCTTTTCCAAGAGGACAACCTCTTCTGCACCTTTTCTATTACCGGAACCCAAGTACTCTTCCTTCTTGGATTGGCCCCTAAAGGCAGACCTAAGAAGTTAAAAGGCAGCTTCTTAGTCAGACAGTTTAAAGTCTAAGCAAACTCCTTAGTTTGGTCCTCTTGAAATCCCACCCCACAAACAACACTCTTATGGTAGTTGATCTTCAACCCAAACATTACCTCAAAGCACCTCAACACTCTTTTTAAATTCAACACTTCTTCCAAGTCACCCTCACAGAAATGATGGTATCATCTGCAAATTGGAGATGAGATATACTCAACTCTTGAGAGCCAACTAAGGCACTTTGAAATAAACCTTTCTCAATAGCCCTCCCCAACAACAAATTAAGTGCTTCAGCTACTATAATGAACAAGAAAAGTGATAGGCAGTCACCCTGCTCGAGCTCCTTTTGTAATTGAAATTCCTCAGTCGGTGCTCCATTAACCAGAACAGAAATCTTAGCAGTTGAAATGCAAGTCTTCATCCACCTAATCCATTGTTCTTCAAATCCAAAGTTTCTCATCATAGATACTAGAAACTCCCAATTTATCATCCTGAACAATGAAAGGAAATAGATGGGCAAATTTGATAGAACAGATTTAATCAAAGACAATCTACCCGCAAAAGATAACAACTTCCTTTTCCAAGAGGACAACCTCTTCTGCACCTTTTCTATTACTGGAACCCAAGTACTCTTCCTTCTTGGATTGGCCCCTAAAGGCAGACCTAAGAAGTTAAAAGGCAGCTTCTTAGTCAGACAGTTTAAAGTCTGAGCAAACTCTTTAGTTTGGTCCTCTTGAAATCCCACCCCACAAACAACACTCTTATGGTAGTTGATCTTCAGCCCAAACATTACCTCAAAGCACCTCAACACTCTTTTTAAATTTAACACTTCCTTCAAGTCACCCTCACAGAAACGATGGTATCATCTGCAAATTGGAGATGAGATATACTCAACTCTTGAGAGCCAACTAAGGCACTTAGAAATAAACCTTTCTCAATAGCCCTCCCCAATAACAAATTAAGTGCTTCAGCTGCTATAATGAACAAGAAAGGTGATAGGGGGTCACCCTACTCGAGCTCCTTTTGTAATTGAAATTCCTCAGTCGGTGCTCCATTAACCAGAACAGAAATCTTAGCAGTTGAAATACAAGTCTTCATCCACCTAATCCATTGTTCTCCAAATCCAAAGTTTCTCATCATAGATACTAGAAACTCCCAATTTATTGAGTCATATACTTTTTCAAAATCTAACTTGAGTATAATCCCCTTCTTCTTAGATCTCTTCCACCCATCTACTACCTCATTTGCTATTAACACCCCATCTAGGATGTACTTTCCACAAACAAAGGCAGATTGAACCTCACTGATCACCATTGGAAGAACCCTCTTAATTCTTCTAGATAACACCTTGGCCAAGACTTTATATACTGAACTGACCAAGCTAATTGGTCTGTAGTCCCCCAAACCTATAGGGTTGTCCTTCTTGGGGATAAGAACAATAAATGAACTGTTAATCCCTCTTGACAACTTTCCATTGGTATGGAATTCATGCATCAACTGAATTATTTCCATTTTCATAATTTTCCAACAACTTTGAATACAAGCTAGGTTAAAGCCATCAGGACCAGGGGCCTTGTTCCCATCACAGTCTTGGATTGCTTCCCAAATCTCAGCTTCAGTAAAAACATCTTCCAAACTCACTGCTGCCTCAGGGGTAATAGTAGTAAAAGGGCCTGACAATTTTGGCCTATGAATCCATTGTTCAGAAAATTGACGACTAAAGTGCCTAACCACCTCTTGTTTTACTAGCACTGGATCCTCTAACCTCACTCCATCCACCAAAACTGAGTCCAACAAATTCTTTCTCTGCCTACTACTTGCCATAATATGAAAAAACCTTGTATTTCTGTCCCCAAATCTGACCCACTACATCCTGGATTTTTGGTGCCACAACCTCTCTTTATTTCTGCTGAGCTGCCACACCTTAGATCTGATTTCTCTTCTTCTTTTAATTTCCAGACCAGCCAAGGACTTGGATTCAGCCTTTAGGTCCCAATCATGTAGTTACTCCTCTGCTGACTTTAGTAGGGAGTCTATGTTGCCAAACACTGAATTGTTCCACACCCTCAGATGATTCCTCAAAATTTTCAACTTTCTCATGATTCTATACCCTGCCCAGCCTTGCACTTGTGTGTCCTCCCACCTCTTTTTGACTTTAGCCATGAAAGTAGGATGTGATCTCTAAGCATTAATGAATTTAAAGGGCTTAGGACCCCAACCCCTATCATCCTCTTTTAGCAATATTGGACAATGGTCCTAAATTGTTCTAAATAAGCCCCGTTGTTTTATGACAAACTTCTCCAACCACATTGGAGCTACCAGAAATCTGTTTATCCTGCTCCACCTGTCCTCTTCCACTGCATCACACCATGTGTACTGTTTGCCTAGCATAGGCATGTCCACCAATTCCAATTTTTCTATAAACTCATTAAAATCTGACATTCCCCTGTCTCTTCTAGAGCAACCCTTTCTCTCACTCATATATCTGATTTTATTAAAGTCCCCTCCTACACACCAGGGAAAAGAAAAGTGTTGTTTAATTCTTACCAGAGATTCCCATACTTGTCTCCTCCTTACAACCTCATTTGGAGCATAAACATTTACAATAACACAAGGAAAAAAGCTACAAGCTATACCTGATAAAATGATGAAGTTCTTATTACTGCAACAATTCTGAAGCTTAAAAACTTGAGGTTTCCAAATACACAAAATACCACCAGCACTCCCATCTGAGTCTATCTGCATAAATTCCATCTCCTCAAAAGGCCAGATTGTTCTGACAAAACTGTCATCCATCGAGCTTCTTTTAGTTTCTTGTATTAACAATACACTTATGTCCTTTTCCCTCACTAGACACTTTATTTTCCCCCTTTTTTCTGGCCTTCTCAGTCCTCTAACATTCCATGATAAGATCTTCATAATAACCATCACAACTTGCACCTTAACCCCTGATTAGCAACCAGCTATGGTCTGGTTGTAGCTGCTTCAACTGCAATTCTTCTCAAATCATTCTCTTCTAACTCTACTATTTTGGACACTACCTCCTTCTCTTGGCCTTGGTACTGCATTCCCAGCAATGCACCAACATTCACTATTGTCTGTGCCTCATCAACTAGAATACTCCTTCTTTTCAAGGACTGATTTTGGGAAGCAGACAATGAATTTGCTGCAGCCACTGCTGAGGCTCTGAAGATGGCCCGTATCTGGAAGCCAAGCCTACCCATTCTGCCTTTTTGTTTCATATTTCCTCCAACTATATTGATGCCCCTCCTTTTATCACTGCCCTTCTTCCCTGAATTACACCCTCTCTTGACTGCTGCTACCTTGAATTTTCTTCCTTGACCAGCTCTATTTGCCACAGCCGTATGAATGGTTTGGGCCATAGTTAATCTAACTTGGGTTTGTGCCACACAGTCACTGAGATTCGACCCCACCCCCTTGTTTGGTCCACTGGGCTCAGGCCCAACCTGCATGCCTTCAAGTAGAACTTCTAGACTTATATTATTCCTTGCACCCACTGGCCCACTTAGCTCTTTTAAAAGACCCCCAGTATATATATCCTTATTCAGCACATGATCTTTATTCATCATTGTCTGCTGAGACATGACTTCCTGCACCAGCCCCATCTCTCTAGAGCATACACCTGCTAGGTCCATCCCCATGTCACCATTTCTGATAACTACACCTGCTAGGTCATTCCCCATACCACCCCCTATACCAACTGCAGCTAATGCACGCTTGCCATCATTTCCTTTGCCCTGCTCATCTGATCTAGCCATCTCTGTTTCCAACACCCTACTAACATCATCACGCCCATCTACACCCTCCTTTTTGTTTTGTGAAGAAGCTTGCTTTGCAATCTTGCAATTACCACCATTGTCGGACATCTGATTTGCCCCTCCTTTTGCAGTGGAATGCAGTTGCTGATGTTACGAACTTCTACTACTACTTGGGCTCAGGAGTAAACAATTAGGGATTTCTTCACAGACCCTAACTGGAATGTGCTTACCTTTATGCTCCAAAAATATTGTCTCATTGATTATCTCCCTACACTTTGTTATCACTCTTACCTTAGCTTGCTGGAAAGTTTGTGGATCATTAACATCTTCTTCGAACTAAGCTACCACCCCCCAATGACTACCGATGTTTTGAATAGTTGTAACACTTCAGAGGTTTATGGGAATACCAAAACAAATCAACCAGACGCACCTCTCTTGCTCCACAAACTGTCTCTTCCCCCATTCTTCGATTGAATCACACCATTGCCTTCCCCACCCTTATAGTTGTTCCTTCCCAATCTGCATATGTTGTGCTGAGGAAAAGGTTAATAGAACTATGCGCCCAGCCCCCTCTCTTGCAACCACATCCTGCATCCCTCTTCTCCAGAGTTCTGCTCTAAAATCCTTAAAAGCTAAAACCCTGCTCAGCTGAATTACTAAGCTCTCATACCGCCAGCCATTGCCTTTTTCAGTAGCTTTTATTGTCACATGCGCACCCATTTTGGCACTTCCCCTTGCTACCGCCTCCGCATAAGTCTTCTTAGCTCCATTTCCCAGCCCCTGCTGCAACTGGAACCCCTGATCCATCATTCTTCCATCTTCGCCTCTGTTCAGCCCTCTTTACGCCGATTGACCAACTCTTTGAGGTTTTTGAAACTCTGCTCTTTTGACCCTCAGTTCCTTGTTATCACACCACAACCCATCTGTCTTCTATATCGCTATCCCAGCAGCCACCTCGCAATCATATCTTACAAACCCAAATCTAGATCTTGATGCTTTTCTTTTCTTTCCTAGAATAAACACATCTTTCACTAAGCCAAACTTCCTAAATAAATTAAACAATCCTTTAGAACCCATGGAATCTGGAATGTTATCAATGAATATTGTAACCATCGTCGCCTCCTTCCGAAATCCATTCTGGCTACCCACTCTTCTCCTTTGTATTATTGGATTTCAATTTTTTGTTTTCCTCCTTAAATTCTTTCATAAATCAAAATGCACTTTTCTGGGATATTTTAGGGACGGATACATTCTTAATACAAATTTCATGATTTGGGTATGAAATTATTCCTCACAAAGTTGGAGAGCAATGGAATCATAAAAGTTCCACTTCTCTTAGACAACAAGAACAAATGAATACAAACTATATATTAGAGAATCGAAAAGATACTTCAAGCACCCACTATCTGAATCGATCAATGTTCATCAAAGTTGACTAACTTCCAAAAATAAATAAAATACTATTGAAAATATCGTGAAAATAAAATACATGTAGATTCAATTCAATGAGCAACACCCAAAATAAATCAAGTTTACACGTCTCATTTGCAGGATAATCAAGCTATGTGATTTCACATTTCAGAAACACATACATCATATATATGTTTAAAAAAAAATAAAAATAAAAAAATACTTCCTAATAGTGCTAATTCCCAACAATTTAAGTACTAGTCAAATTTGCATGATTCAAAGTTACAATAAACACCATGAAACTAGTGGGAAAAACACAAACAAATATAATCTACATCAAACGAACGATGATGACCTTGAAACCCCATGAGATAATGCATCTTCAAACTCTTCTTCGTCAGCCTTGCCAGTGCTCAAGCTCGGTGGAATGAAAGATCTAAATATTACTTCCATGTTTGGCGTTTCCTTCAATTTGCGACAAGCAATTTCAAGAGCAGTGGATTGGAAGAATCGGTAGAATTTCTTACTACAAATAAAGGTGAAGAAGAGTATTGAAAGAGGGATCAAGAATGGAGCGTAGTAGAACTTCTTTATTCCGAAGTAACCAACCATTAATACTTGGTATAACAATAAAGATGCCACGATGCGCTTGTGTATGTGCGGTCACATCGTCCCGTAGCTCTCGTATGAAAGAACAGAGACTTTGAGTACCTATAATAGAGGTGGAGAGAATAACAAAAAATAAGCAAACATATATGAAAATGAGGAGAGATTTATAGAAAGAAAAGTGAAAGATTTGTTGCAACAAAAGCCATTCTTAAGTGTTCAAATGCATATTTACTATTTTTTTTTAAATAATAATGAATAATGTTACCTGTACCAATTAGTGTACTAATAAATGATGTGGTATCATTTTAGAAGTTTTGGATATTTGTAATTTGTATAATAAATGAGATCAGTAATAATGTCATAACACTAGTTGGTAAATTAGTTAGTGCATTAATTGGTACATATAGCACCACCGAATAATAATAACTCACAAATTTTAACAAAATAAAAATAAAAATTAAAAAATAGCAACCCAATGCATAAGGACTTCCACTAAAGCGAGATCTGAGCAGGGGTAAGATATACATGCAACCCTAAAGATAAATAATTTTTTTAAATAATAAATAAATGAAAAGAGCAACCTAATGCTAGGTTTCTGCTAAAACAAAATATGGAGAGGACAAGTGTACACAACCTAATGCACTAGTTATTATCTCAAATCATAGCAATTAACCCAACAAAGATTTCGAAAAAAGCAAACTTTGAAACAAAATATGGGCATTCAACCAAAAGGAAAGGAAAAAATATCATCTTAAGTGCATTTTTTGTTTAACATTTTGATTTCGATGTCAACTTAGAACAGCATAGGAACAAATTCAAAAACCATTTTGTCAATTGAATTTTGAATAGAGCTCTATAAGTTCGAAATAGTTAGTGGACTTGCCTGATTTCGAAGGACAAGCCAACTAAGGGAAAAGTATAGCAGACCAAAAGGAATGATGATAGGAGCGATGACAGAATAGCAAAGAACAATTGTGACAATCAGCATATCACCAGGTACCCTAGTTGCTAGCCCAAGATCTCCAG